AAACACCGGACGACTAAAAACAGTCGTTTCCTCGATCGCTCGTGAAACGCAGTTTAAAATTTAAAAAACCCAATCATAAAATGTATTTGTGCGATCGAATCAAAGTCGAGTCTATTTCGAACGAACCAACGTACCTTATAATTTAATTCAACTGTCCGCTATGTTATTACATCCATTTCCGTAAAACGGTGCAACAACCTCAAAAATACATCGAAATGCACTTTTTCGCGGAAAAGTTTCCGTACGAACAGCCCGGACCGTTTTGCGTCCGATTCGACGATATCTGGAGATCGTAAAAAAGGAAACGTCCAATGTCTCCATAAATAATTTGCATCCGCGAGAACGGCGAGATACAAATGAATTTCTCCGAAAAGAAATCGGAAAAAAAATTCAATCAAATTCGACGGTATACACGCGACCGCGACCTCTCTGCTTGTTTAGTTACCGTGTCCCGAGTTACGGCGCGGCGCACCGACCGGCCAATAACTTTGTCATTGCTGTCAATTTAAGAAATCGAGTTGTCGAACTTGTTACGCGAGAACGATCAATTAACCCGCGCCTCTGCTCGCGTTACATCGTCGAAACACGGGGGCCCGCTTATTACCCGATACCTCGGCTCGCGTCAGTCTGCCCGACTATTGATCGTCATTTCCACTTGCTTGAGAGTTTCGAAAGCGCGTCTGGCCGATGCCCGATATTTCTCCTCGCGGACGGTACGTACATATTCCGAAACACGTCTGCCGAACATTCGCCGTTTCCACCTGCGGGCAGAGAGTCCCGGGCCCGGTGTTTGATTATTATGCGTCATTTCCAGCGTCGCTCAAGTTCCGCGCAGCGATTGCGTCCGCCGATGTTTCCTCGTCCGATTGTTATTACGCCCCGCCCCGCCTCCGCGCTTCCCTCGTTCCTCGGCGCGGCGTTTCCCGGCGCGGCCTTCGCCGTGCTTCCCCCGCTCCCCGGCGCGACGTTCCCTCGGTCCTCAGCGCGGCGTTCCCCGTGCCTCCCCCGTTCCCCGACGCGGCGTTCCCCCGTTCCCCGGCGCGGCGTTCACCGTGCTTCGCCAGCTCCCCGGCGCGGCGTTCCCCCCTCCACTGACCGTCGCTTGATATTTCTACTTAAATCACTGTTGCGAAGTATCGACAGCCGCGGCACTCGTTTCACGGGGAATTGATCTACTCGGAACTTATCGCGACGTGCTCCGACGGATAACGATATCTTGCCGGCCCTGTTTTCGAGTCGGCCGTTGCAAACAGCCCCGGAAAAACTTTCCGACATGTTGGATCCCCTCTGTTCTTCCGCGCCCGGTGTTCCGAAGCCTGGCCATTACCACGGTGTTTCGACTTGTGTATCGATGTTCCCCAAGTATCGACAGCGAGCTCGTTTCATGAACGTGGAATCGAGTTAGCGCCGGAGTCGGTCGGCGGCGTCTGTGTGGGTGCGGGCGCACCTAAACCAGGGAACGTTGTCCGAATGAGATTCCGCGAAAGACTTCGGGGACCGGTTACCGAGCGGAAGAACGTCCAACTCGTTTTCGCCGCGATGAATAAATTATGTAACGGGGATAACGGAGCGGCGACGATTTTCGCAAGTTACGTTTCACGGGGGCTGGAAGCGACGCCGGATTCGTGGCACGCCGTTTAACTTGCATCAATGTTTTAGTCCCGTTATCCGACGGATTTTTGAAACGTGGCGGACACCGGTCCGGGACGCGGCAATTTTTCGCCGGGAAAAGAATTCGAAGCGGCGCAGCGCGTTCCTTTGCTCGCCGTCTTTCGAAGAAGTCGCGATCCGGAGAGAATGAAAAGTCGACGATAGTCACAGCTAAAAGGGCCTAAACGATTAAGATGGTTAAAATTATCTTTAGAGAATTTTTCATGACTAATATACCGTTTTATAGCTGAGCAGGAAAAACTCTGTGCAAAATTTCAATCCTATAACTTGAGGATAGTCACGGGGTAAATTAGATTGCGCGCTTTTTTCCCAAAAAATTTCCAAAAAAATATGGCCTATTTTGGACGTCGAGTCTCGTATTACAGAATTTTTTCGGATTTTTCGGTTGCAAGCTGTGGTTATTAAAAATACAAAACCAGTAAAAAGTCGGAAAATTGAAGATTTATCGAAAACAAAAATATCGACCATTTTTATATTAGTTCCTTGATGAAGTACTATCGCGAGCAGTGTGCTCAAATTTTTGCGGATTTTTCGTAAGGCTGCGCCATTTTCAAAAACCATGAAAACCGAATTTATCGACGTTTTCGCTGCGAGGAAAAAGATCGCTACTTGTTGATTTAACCGCGAGTGTAAATTAAGTAATTTTAAACGTTATTGCATCGCAATTTTTTCGAAATTACAACCGTATAACGTTGCATTTCATTGCGAAGCCATTTGACGAAAGTAATATCTCGGTTATTCGAGTCTTAAAGGATTATCTGCTCGCGGGCGAATGAATTTTTTCCGAAAATTAAAGCCGAGAAAAATTACCACGTCCCCGTTCCACGCTGCGCGATGAAAAATCGGCCACTTGTCGGTTCTGTCGCGAGTCTAGCTCTCCGTGTGTCTCGCAGGAACTTCTTGCGCCTGTACTTTCGAGTTTCTTCGCGATCACATACGAGCTTCCCACTCGTTTCCATTAATGCAGACCGGCCGAGATACCCACGGCTACGCTATTACGTTGTTGCGTACGAAACGCCCGGAGTGCTCGGGATCCTTGACAGCGTATTAAACTTTAGATGAATGTGCCGCGGTCGAACCAACGTTCTGCATTAAGGAATTAAAATTTATGAAACGGATTAATGAAGTTTTAAGGGGACCTTACGGATAGACGCTGCTCTCGAGAGCGTGCCTCGAATCTTTTAGGAAATCCGATGGAGATCATCGTACGTTTCGTAAGTCTTATCCGACGTTAATTCGCACTTTTTTCCTAGTTTCCGCTCCATCGCGCGGTCGCCGAACCGCCCGAAGTCCGATGAGTTAGGCGAGGCTTTTTAAAGTTTTTTTTCGAAGTTTTCGGTTTTTCGCACGCGGACGGCGCGGTTCGGGTCCATTCGGACCCACGGTATAGATATCGTTATTCGAATAATTTCGGACAATGGATTTAAAGGTTCGCATGCTTCATTAAGGTTTATAGAAACACTATCTGATCCAGAAGGAATGCGTTAAAAATTATGTTGAAAAAATAAATAAATATAAATGATGAATAAAATATGAGTGAAGTAAATAAAATGATGAATAAAATACGAATGAAGTAAATAAAATGATGAATAAAATGCGAATGAAGTAAATAAAATGATGAATAAAATACGAATGTAGTGAATAAAATGATGAATAAGATATGAATGAAGTAAATAAAATGATGAATAAAATACGAATGAAGTAAATAAAATGATGAATAAGACATGAATAAAGTAAATAAAATGATGAATAAGATATGAATGAAGTAAATAAAATGATGAATAAAATACGAATGAAGTAAATAAAATGATGAATAGAATATGAACGAAGTAAATAAAATGATGAATAAAATACGGATGAAGTAAATAAAATGATGAATAAGACATGAACGAAGTAAATAAAATGATGAATAAAATATGAATGAAGTAAATAAAATGATGAATAAAATGTGAAATGAGTAAATGAAATGATGAATAAAATGTGAAATGAGTAAATGAAATTATGAATAATCCTAAGCATACTCGTCGTCAGTTATGTTTTTATCAAAAACCATTATTCAAGCATCCAACATTATTCAAACATTATCAAAGATGATCGAAACTGTGACAAAAATCTCAATAATCTGGCCTTGCAAAATAATCATTGTTTTAATTAATCGAAGAATTAATCTGCATCCATTTCTGATCGTAATAATTTTAACGCTAAACCTATTATTCTCAAATTGTTGAAATCGCGAGGATCCAACTTTGCAAAACAGTGAAATAAATTCGTTCGTTCGAGCTTACATTATAATAAAAACGGCGAAAAGTCGAAATATAAAATCAGTCTTGTCATTCTCATAAACCGACACAAGCGTTAATCGCTTTCGGAGCTCGCTAGATTTAGCGTTAACGACTTTGAGAATAATGAAACAGTATTTTCAATCGCGAATAGGAATATAAATTGAATAACTGAGAACTTAATGAAACGCTAAACTTGCCGCGGTCGGAACGACAGTTTCCTTATTCCGCGTATTCCGCGAAGTTCGGAGACTCTTTCACGGAAGTATGCTCGAATAAATTACATTATCGGAGGGAGCAAGTATTATTATTTATTCCAAGCACTTTCCACGAAAGGCATCCCCGAAGTTCGCGGAATCGGAGAAAACGGGAAGGAAGCGGTCATTTCGACCGCCGCGGGGATTCAGCGTTAATTCTCGATACACAAAAGGCTCATCGGAATTACCCCGATTTCAAGGAAGTTTCGCAGCGGCCACTGTCTCGACAGCCTCGTTAGACAATGCGGCGTGCCGGGAGAACGCTGGAAATCCGTAATCTTTAAATAACAAAACCATGTTCCCCCGTCGTAATTGTTAGCGTTATTTTGACAAACCCTGTACAATAGACAAACTTCCCAGCTTCCGTACAAGGAGCGTTCCCTGAGAGTTACTCCACAAATTATACCGACGTTTCTCCTCCCCCCCCCTCTCTTCCCCCCTCCGCCGTCCTCCGCCGCCGTCTGTACGTATTCGCGGAACTACTCCGAAGAAGTTCGCGCAAAAAAGAAGACGCCAGTCCGGAGAAAGCATTAAACCGAACCGCGTATCCGAGACCCGGCGTTGTTCACCTGCGACAGAAACCCCTTCGGCCCATAATTCCTGCTGAATCAGTTTTTCCCGGACGTCCATAATTCCCGGGAACGTTAGCGTTCCCGTGTTTACCACCCCCCTCGCGACTGGCGTCGTCCCCCTGACCGGGTGCGCCGGTTAGGGGATACCATGGAAACAATTCCAATAAGACGGCGAATGCCGGGACGGGAATTCAATTTGAATTTTAATCATTGATCCGCAGGGGAGCATCCGGCGGCCATGCAGCACGGCGGTCAACTCAGGCTGGCCAATCTGCCGTTCGTGATGATCTCGACGACCCTGCTGGCTTTCCTGAATCATCGTTATTGAACGCCCGAGCTCGCCGGGATCGCGAGAGTACGTTCATTTTCAGCAGAGCTCAACGGGACGAGAAGAAGTGCGGTAGATCGGAGAAGAGCGCGATAGAGAGAGAGAGAGAGAGAGAGAGAGAAGGAGCGAGAGAGAGAGAGAGGAAGAGAGAAGGATATTGCGAGAGGAGAGCCGGATAGAACGAGATAGAGACGGACGAGCCGCTAAAATTCATTCGGCCGGGGAGAGCTAAGGTTAGCAGCAGACGTCGAGGCGATCCAGGGATCAAGGGGAGAGGACGACGGTCTTTCTCTCGAGACGTGGAAACGAGATTTTTGTTCGGGACCGTTGTTTCGCGGATCGAGACAATTCCTGGCGACCGTGCGCGGAGGAAAAACCGTACGGAAAAAGCCTCGGCCACGGGAAACCGCGCGCGGGTTTCACGACTGCCGTCGTGAATTCGCCGGCCGGGGACACGACGTTCGCCGACGTTCGTCGCGGCGCGCCGCTGCGGCAGGAATAGCGCCGGTGAAAAATGAAACGTTAAAGTGATCTCCTCGCTGCGTTCTCCGGTTGAAGAAGTAAAACGGTAAAAATGATGTAGGGAACGGGATCGTTTGCGGCACCGCGGAACCGTATGAGAAAGGAACGGCGGAATTGGACCAGACTGCGGCACGAGCTTGTGCTGAATGTATCATAAGAAATGTAGTCCGTTGTAACGAATAAAATAAGAGATAACGATGCGTCAAGTGTCGCAGAATTGAGAATCAGCTATTTCAGACGCGGGGAGCTTCGTCGGGAGTTTCGTTTTTTTCTCTCTGTTCTTTTCTTTTATATTTCTTTTTCGTTTTTCCATTTTTTTTTCTTTTTTTGTAAAACGAACGGCGAGCGCGACAAAATGGCCGCTCCGTCGGCTCGCGACAACGGTTTCGTTTCTTCGCGCAGATCAGAGCGAATTTGTCGACGGTTCTTCTCTCAAGGTTCGATCTTGATTCTGGGACACTCTATATACAGGCAGCAATTTCAGACGCGGGGAGCTTCGTCGCGATTTTCGTTTTTCTCTCTGTTCTTTTCTTTTATTTTTATTTTTCGTTTTTTCATCTTTTTTTCTTTTTTTGTAAAACGAACGGCGAACGCGACAAAATGGCCTCTCCGTCGGCTCGCGACAACGGTTTCGTTTCTTCGCGCAGATCGAAACGAATTTGTCGACGGTTCTTCTCTCGAGGTTCGATCTTGATTCTGGGACACTCTATATACGGGCAGCAATTTCAGACGCGGGGAGCTTCGCCGCGAGTTTCGTTTTTCTTTCTGTTCTTTTCTTTTGTGTTTCTTTTTCGTTTTTTCTTGTTTTCTGTCAAACGAACGGCGAGCCCGACAAAATGGCCACTCCGTCGGCTCGCGACAACGGTTTCGTTTCTTCGCGCAAATCAGAGCGAATTTGTCGACGGTTCTTCCTCTCGAGGTTCGATCTTGATTCTGGGACACTCTATATACAGGCAGCAATCGATGTTAAGAAAACGCTAAAAGGTAAAATTAATGGTTCTTTGGGACGAATCGTTCGGGGCCGGGGACAGAGAGGCGGCGCCATTTTGTTTGCTGTGTTACGGTCAACAGACAATACATTGTATGCACATGCCAAAGGGAAACGCGCGACTACGACCGTTTAATCGTTTATTTGCGTATTTGCGCGAAAGTGTCCGTTGGACGCGGAGCGAAACGCCGCGAGTCACGCGTTCTCAAGTTTCCACTGCCCTGTTCTACTGTTCGTGTTTTCAAAACGGCAATCGCGTTTCTCCTCCGCCCTTCTCTACGCTCCTCGGAAACGGCCGCGGCAAAGGGACGAAACCTGGCTGGCGTTGTTATCGTTTTTTTGCTACGGATGTTATTGAATTGTGCGCTAAACCTATCGAGCGGTGCGGATGTCCGACGCGTGTTCGTTCGTAAAAATTTGCGAGACTGAACTCGTTTAGAGATCTCGCTATTTTTACTGTAATCTGTGGTTGAATCGCGGAGTTTATTTATTAATCGTTTCCTACGGAAGGCTCTTTACGATCATTTTGAAAGAGGAAATGCGGTCATTTCGACCGGCTGAAAGTAGGTTTTGTGTTAATCCTTTGCGGTCGACTGGTGACTTCGAGGCATCGCTAAGAATTGCGGTTGTAACCCTTTGCACTCGAGTGGTGACTCAAGATAATTGGTGTCGCAAGATAATTGTTACATTAGCAAAGTTTAGATTTGAATAATTGTTAAAAGCATAATCGTTGCGCAAGTCGCGAGACTCGAGCTCTCACGCATAAAATGCACTTTAATAAAATGAAACTCGTATAAAATGGAAATACTGTAAGTCAGAAAAATTATTTTAGATTCACAGATAAAATAGATTCGAGCGCGAAGGGTTGACATTGCCGAATTCGCTTATATTCAAAGAACTGTTCGTTTCACACGCATCGAGTGCACTATAAAAGTCGCGCAAAGTGAACAAAATTGTAAGTCAAAATTATAAATATTTAAATATTTTGAATTTACAGTTAAAACAGCTTTGAGCGCGAAGTGTTAACATTGCCGAATTCGCTTATATTCAAAGAGAACTGTTCGTTTCGCGCGCATCGAGTGCACTATAAAAGTCGCGCAAAGTGAACAAAATTGTAAGTCAAAATTATAAATATTTAAATATTTTGAATTTACAGTTAAAACAGCTTTGAGCGCGAAGTGTTAACATTGCCGAATTCGCTTATATTCAAAGAGAACTGTTCGTTTCGCGCGCATCGAATGCACTGTAATAGTCGCGCAAAGTGGCAGATTGTCGCGCAAATTGTAAGTCAAAATTAGAAATATTTAAATATTTTGAATTTAAAGTTAAATTGGCTTCGAGCGCGAAGGGCTGATTGCTGGCCCATCGGAAAAGTGAAAGTTCGTAGGAAAACCGGGGCAGCGACCATGGCAAACAGGATTTGTTAGAGCCGAACGAAACAAAAACATTTCACCGATAATTTTGTATTACACGCGAGGAGCGTACGAGAGTTCGGGGACTACGTCGCCTAAGCTAGCTCAATAGAAACGAAATTGTTTTTACCGCGAGTCAACGATAAAGATAACGTTGCATCCGAAATCGAAACCGAGAAAACTTGTTGAATCGATCACGGTGTGGTCCGTAGCCCTCGATCTATTTTTCTCAGCACAGAAAACGCGACTTTCGTCTACCCGAGGCCACGATTAAACGCTAAACCTACCACCGCCGGTCTCGCAATACTTTATTATACATACACGTTAGCAATCGGTGTGCAAAGAAGCTGTCCGAACGAATTCCCATAGCGCGACGCGGCCAAATTTGGACCGGCAGCTTGTTGTTCCCGGCGTAAGCGTCGCGAGAGAAAATTACTTCCGACGTTATTAACGACGCTAATTGCCTATGAATAATGCTTTCGGTCTCGTTCCGCTGTGTACCCATCCGAGATGAAAAATATTCGCAGTATCCCCGCTGGAATAATAAAGTCGCGCGAAAGGGGTACAGTAATGTCTCTCTAAATTGACGCGCAGATTGTCAACAGAAAAATGAACAATTTTGGAAGAGGAGATACCATTGTTCGAGCCTTGCGGCTCGTTTTTATAATTATTGACCATTCGTAACTATAGAAGCAAAATCGCAAGGCTCGAATAATCGAATCTCCTCTTCCCAAAGTGTCCATTTTGTGCGCAATCCGAGCGTCGGTTAGGGAGACATTGCTGTATACAATCTTCCCTCGTATCGCTTTTAACCAGTTAGCTGCTTTTGACGAGTATACTCGTCGCAACGCGGCTGTATGCACGTCGAAAACAGCCGACTGGTCGAGAAGATTGTATACAGTAATGTCTCCCTAACTGACGCTCGGAACAATGGACGTGCAGAAAAATGGACAATTTGGGAAAGAGAAGATACGATTGTTCGAGCCTCGCGGCTCGTTTCTAAAATTATTGACCATTCGTAACTATAGAAGCAAAATCGCAAGGCTCGAATAATCGAATCTCCTCTTCCCAAAGTGTCCATTTTGTGCGCAATCCGAGCGTCGGTTAGGGAGACATTGCTGTATACAATCTTCCCTCGTATCGCTTTTAACCAGTTAGCTGCTTTTGACGAGTATACTCGTCGCAACGCGGCTGTATGCTCGTCGAAAACAGCCGACTGGTGGAGAAGATTGTATACAGTAATGTCTCCCTAACTGACGCTCGGAACAATGGACGTGCAGAAAAATGGACAATTTGGGAAAGAGGAGATACGATTATTCGAGCCTCGCGGCTCGTTTCTAAAATTATTGACAAATCGTAACTACAGAAGCAAAATCGCAAGGCTCGAATAATCGAATCTCCTCTTCCCAAAGTGTCCATTTTGTGCGCAATCCGAGCGTCAGTTAGGGAGACATTGCTGTATACAATCTTCCCTCGTATCGCTTTTAACCAGTTAGCTGCTTTTGACGAGTATACTCGTCGCAACGCGGCTGTATGCTCGTCGAAAACAGCCGACTGGTCGAGAAGATTGTATACAGTAATGTCTCCCTAACTGACGCTCGGAACAATGGACGTGCAGAAAAATGGACAATTTGGGAAAGAGGAGATACGATTATTCGAGCCTCGCGGCTCGTTTCTAAAATTATTGACAAATCGTAACTACAGAAGCAAAATCGCAAGGCTCGAATAATCGAATCTCCTCTTCCCAAAGTGTCCATTTTGTGCGCAATCCGAGCGTCAGTTAGGGAGACATTGCTGTATACAATCTTCCCTGGTATCGCTTTTAACCAGTTAGCTGCTTTTGACGAGTATACTCGTCGCAACGCGGCTGTATGCTCGTCGAAAACAGCCGACTGGTCGAGAAGATTGTATACAGTAATGTCTCCCTAACTGACGCTCAGAACAATGGACGTGCAGAAAAATGGACAATTTGGGAAAGAGGAGATACGATTATTCGAGCCTTGCGGCTCGTTTCTAAAATTATTGACCATTCGTAACTATAAAAGCAAAATCGCAAGGCTCGAATAATCGAATCTCCTCTTCCCAAAGTGTCCATTTTGTGCGCAATCCGAGCGTCGGTTAGGGAGACATCACCGTATTGCCAAATTCTCGTTTCTCTTTTTTCTTTTCCGGGACGACGTGGACCGAGTTCGTTTCGGGTGTTTGTGGTAGGTTCAGCGACGAGGATCGAAGGAAGATTTTACGGAGATCTGCGACTTTTATCGTTTCGCGGAGATACAGGCTACACGTTGGACCTCCGAAAAGCGGAAGAGGTCGCTGGTAGTTTGGTCGGCTACGGGGGAGAGGCATGCACCGCGAGCGTGTGAAAATCGTCTTCCACCGCGTAAATTGAGAGTCCGGATTAGGGGTTCCGAAATAAATCTGGATTATCTCGGAATTCGGGCTGGATGCGCAGCGAGCCGCAATTTTTGAACGGAAGCGAACGGCGATATATCCCCGCGGAGAGGCGACACGGCGAAGACGGGGACAAAAGCGTCGCGATTCGATGGATCGGCCATTCGACGGGGAAAAGGGACACACAGCGATCGTTCCGTTCCTTTCAATTTTTGTCGATCCCGCTGTTTCTTTCGATTCTTTTTTCTTCTTTTTTTTCGCGTTTCTTTTTTTCGTCGATCGTTTCGTTCGTTCGGGAACACACGCGAAAAAAAAAAACTGAACAGGGTGTTCCGCGACCGAGGATTAAAGCCGTACAGCCGGACTAGGTTCGTGCTCGGCGCGGCGCATAACTTTAGCACCAGTCGCGTTTCCAAATCTCCTAGACGCTCCAGTGAAAATACAAAAGAGAATACGATCGACAGAGCTTTCCGCCGCTTAGGCGGTCGATAAGCGAATCGCTGTGGCATTCCAGATCTGCGCGCCGTATCTATGGTATAAACCGATTGGACCTGCTTCGAATAAGGTCGAATAAACAATTTCATAACAGAACGTGTCGCGATTAAATCGAAGCGTACGCCACTGCGTTCTAACTGCGTACCCCGAAACTTTCTTTACTTAATCCGAGAGTAAGTTATTCGAGCAATAGTTAAGAATTTAAGCTACTCGTTGTTGTCGTGAATGCGTAAAATCCTGTTGTCACTGTTTTGTTCGGGTTCTACCGTCGAGCGACGAAAATTGTGCGACAATGTAAACGCCGTTTTCTATCCCGTGAGCGAATGCAACGTTTCCACATTGTTTTTACAGGGGACTCTGATAATAAGTAGACTGCGGATCTTCGTGCAAAATGAAAGATCATCTTCGTCGATCGCAACGAACACGAATCGAATAGAAACTTTTCTTTCTTGCTTGAATAATTTCTTCGAAAATAATGCGTGGACGTCCTTAACCGTTCGAGTCGCAGAGGGGTTATTCAGAAAGCACGGTCGAAAAGTGGCGAACAGCGTGATAGCGCTTGTCTGAATCGATTGCGAAGAGAACCAAGCGGCGCGACAGCGCTCGTCAAGATTGACGAACAAAACGAGAAGAAAAAAAAATGAGAAAAATCAGCTAACGCGATGTACGCGCGTCGCTAAAGTTTGATCGCGACGCAAGATCTGAACAGCGCGATCGCGCTTGCTTGGGGCTCGAACGGGGTGAAATTCTTTCGACGTTCTCATTGCTTCAAACGTCACCTAAACATTTTTATTACGAGCGCATCAAATCCGCAGTGTAAACCGATCAGTTCGAGAACGTGTACGGTGCCAGAAGTTATGCATCGCGCAAATTCGCGGATGGCATACGGGTGTCGACGTAACTTAAGAAACTTGCCGACGTAGGGATCGCGAATTTAAAAAAAAAATGAAAAAAAAAGAGATCGATAAGCTAAACTCTGTAGAAAGCTTGTTATACGCGTCCGAGTATGTTTCTGGATGATAAGAATGTCGGTCGCGAGGAGTTTCCGAGAACAGCCTCGATTAACACGTTCACCGTCTCCGTAACGAACGGAAGTGTCCAGCGGAGCGTCAACCGAACTTGTATCAACAAATTTCATTATACCAAGTCCACACCGAAATGTGCTGTTCAGTTTCGAACGCTCGCGGACCTTTCCCGCCCGAAAATAAAAGCAGCTAGAAAAATGGTTCGTCGCACCGGTCCGTTTTTCTCCGTCGTGCGCGACGATTTAAACGCAACAATTTCTACGACCGTATCTGCAACAATTTTGTTATGTAAATTTGAACCTCGAATTCGTGGAGACTGCGCGGAAAGCCGCCGAAAGGGACGATTGTATTGGGTTCTGCGGAAATAAATTGTGGTTTTCGCACGCGGTGTATATGTATATATAATACTCTCTATATATATATGTAGAGAGCTATAGCTGTTTAAGCAAAAATTTTTGCTTAAACTGCGGTAGTAAAATGTATGCGATCGAAATAGCTTCCACCCTTTCCAACGCAATTTTTGCAACATTTTACAAGCCTTCGCGTCTCGTAGAACAAGAATCGGGGCTTCTGGAATGAATAAATTCACGTGCAATATCGTCGATTCGCATTCAAACTGCGAAACAATTCGAATCGAACTGTACGCTCGCCGATCGTATCTTCAAGATCGTTGCGAGATTAACATTGCGTGCTCCGCGTTTGATTTTTAAATTCGTATAAAAATATTGCACGAATTTTCTTCCCTCGCGTGGCAACATTTGTCGGAACAAAATGAACACGGAAAACAAAAAATCGTAGTTCGCGATCGAGACTGAAAACCGTACTCTATACGTGATATAGAACGAAACGCGCGCTCTCGAACGTGGTATGCAACGTAACAACCGTAAATTATAATTATCCGGTGCGCGGACGCTGCGAGTACAACCGATCGGGAAACTGCAATCCATTTCCGAGCAACCCGATAGACAACAAGGGAACTACATCGCGAAACGACGAACGTCTTTTCAACGGTGGCATGGTTGTTCGAAACTGAACAGGACGGTCCGGTGGAGCCGATAGTTAAATCGCATGAACCGCGTGTGTTCCTTCGAACGGGGATCCGTGTGTGGTAACCGGATTGATTAACGCGCGGGTCGTTAAAACCGGAATCAAAACCGACGTGACCCACATACGAATTCATGAATTCTCCGACGAAACCCCGGCGTGACCCGCGCGGTATGGTTCGCGGATATTAAAATCGACCTGGTGGACCGGGTTCTGGTCTCCGGTAGAAGACTCCTTGGGTAATGCCGGTCGACCCCATTTTCTATGGGATAGTGAACGTGTTAGAAACTCTCTTCTAACAAGGACATAGTCCCCGACCTAGCTATAGGAGACGTTAACTTCGAAACGTAAAATGAAATTTAACCGATTAGGGTATGGCAGATCAATTATTCGACATCGGCACGTCTACTGTTCCACGGGGTTTTCAGTTTCACGTTGCCCGCTCTGCGATACTTCTCGAAGCGGCTGGCGGCACACGATCCACAGTATTTGGGCATCTAAGCTCAGGGTATACTTCCAACGGGTTGCGTTGCAACCGCGGACACGGGTCTTGGCGGCGATTTCTAGACCGGCCAGGTTTCAGGGACCGGGTTTGACCGGTAGCAATGTTAATCGATTACGGAATGGACCATTGACTTGTTATATCTATTGAAGATGCTGTATCTTCAATATGAATCTCCGTTATTATTACTGCTAAACGATGTAACAATTTAACGATGCTACGGCGATTTTAACCGAGTGTATTTTAAGGCTTGGTTGAAGGATTGTACTTTCATTAAAATCTGAAGGGATTAGCTAGATGCAAGGGAGAACTATGCAATGAAGAACGCGTCAGAAAATGTGTTAATGATTTTAACTGGGTGTATTCTGCATCTTGGTCGAAGAATTGTACTTTTGTTACAATGATAAAACGAAGAAGAACGCGTCAGAAAATGTGTTAATGATTTTAACTGGGTGTATTCTACATCTTGGTTGAAGAATTGTATTTTTATTACAATGATAAAACGAAGAAGAACGCGTCAGAAAATGAGTTAATAATTTTAACTGGGAGTATTCTGCATCTTGTTTGAAGAATTGTACTTTTATTACAATGATAAAATGAAGAACGCGTCAGAAAATGTATTAATGATTTTAACTGGGTGTATTCTACATCTTGGTTGAAGAATTGTATTTTTATTACAATGATAAAATAAAGAAGAACGCGTCAGAAAATGAGTTAATAATTTTAACTGGGAGTATTCTGCATCTTGTTTGAAGAATTGTACTTTTATTACAATGATAAAATGAAGAACGCGTCAGAAAATGTATTAATGATTTTAACTGGGTGTATTCTACATCTTGGTTGAAGAATTGTATTTTTATTACAATGATAAAATAAAGAAGAACGCGTCAGAAAATGAGTTAATAATTTTAACTGGGAGTATTCTGCATCTTGTTTGAAGAATTGTACTTGTATTACAATGATAAAATGAAGAACGCGTCAGAAAATGTATTAATGATTTTAACTGGGTGTATTCTACACCTTGGTTGAAGAATTGTATTTTTATTACAATGATAAAATGAAGAACGCGTCAGAAAATGTATTAATAATTTTAACTAGGTGTATTCTGCATCTTGGTTGAAGAATTGTACTTTTATTGCAATGATAAAACGAAGAAGAACACGTCGGATATAATAATCTTGACATTCATTAAAGTATCTTGGATTAAGTGAAGACTATTAGGGATGACCAATAACTCCAGCTTCGACAATTTGATGCCGATACAACCCTCGGCAAACACTGCTGGTTAATACTGTTATCGATGAATATTGATATCGGGCAAATCCGGTTCCGGTGAGTTTTTGTCCGTCGAAATGCTGTCCATGGAGGCTGCGCCAGCGATTTCAATGCAATCCACTTCGAGCATCGTGAATCCGGTGATGTAGAATCGCAATTTATAAAGTGTTCATCGTGTATTACGCATTTCGTCGTCGGTGTACATATACACGCACACAGACACACAACCCACACTGGAAACACGCACACACGTACACACACACACACAGCATCGTAATAACGCGAGGAATCGGTTGTTAGAGATGTAAACTCTATACCTACGTTGTATCGGGTAAGCCATGTTGTATTTACAGGACTGTTACGGGCGAATAATTTTTCATCTATTGTTGAAGCGAAACAAGAGGGACGGAGGATGTGGCCCGTCGGTGAACGGAAGATTTGTATGCGTGGACCTAAATTACGAAACGTTCCGATCGGACCAGAATTACGACTGTTGTATTTTCTTTAGATAAGTTTTCAACGAATAAAAAAACGTCGACCGTTACATACGTTTGTTGGAGACGAGTTCTTTCGTTTGTAACCGCCGTGCGTGAACATTGAATGAATGCGAGCATGTGTTGGTAGCGGGCGAACGAGGAACCAAGCGATGATATTTCAATAATCAAAATAAGGGAGATGATGAATTCTAACGGTTACACATGTTCAGAGATTAATTGCGTAGTAATCTAAGCTCGTTACATAAAATGAGAAAGGAACCTAAACGCTGTTTCCGTTGTAGCTGAAGTGATTATTTCTGTTGAAACGATACACGCAGTGTACAATGATTGTGTTTGTGTAAACCACTTCCCTCTATTTCTCTGATCAACTTTACCAGATTGAAATAAAAATTGTCAATCCATTAACTGGAAGGAATGATTTATAATAATATTATTAATAAAATTTTATCACGTACGACAGAAACAATTCCATCCCGTTCTTAATACCAGCTTGTTTTCCCTTCGGTACAGACGTTAGACAGTTGTCAGCGGATCAGCATCGGCTTTGGATACGCTCACCACGACAGATCCGTTTAACAGTTCCAGCAAGGTACGTGAAAACGAGCTCAAGAATCCGCGTTCGGAATCAGAATGATTTGTTAATATCACATTGACTCCCTTGTGGACAGCGTCGAGAACGTCGTGGTGCAACATTTCCCCCGTGAGATACAAATCTGCAGGAATGTCTTTTAAGACAGTTGCTCCGGATCCAGCACAAAGCGCGATAGTGTTGATGAAACCATCTAGAAATTCGTAGTCAAAATTTCAGTATATTTTCATTGTTCTAAGTAAATAAAATATTAAAGTACAAATTATATATATATTGTACTTGTCTGACGAGCCCGGGCCAATCTAACGTGACTTAGGCCAGTACGTTTCTTTACTAACTCCACAGCTTCTTCAATAGAAATTTGTTTCTTTAAAGTGCATAATCTTCCAAAGCCATACTCCTTATTACCACTATTTGCTTCTATCGGCTTGCTGCTTTCAAGTACTGAAAACACAGCGGTGTTAATTAGAGGATAATCTGATGAATCTCGGATGATTATTGACATAATAGACCTACCACTATGAAATGATGAAGCCAACCAGTCATTCACACCGCCTTTTACTGAATCAAAAGAGGTGTGTGGTGAGTACACAGCAATTTTATTCTCCAAGCATTTGGCCACGATTTTTTCCTATGAAGAAAGGAACTTTCCAGCATTTGTTAAGTTAATTAAGCAAAATTTTATTATGGTAATAGAACAATATTGATACCTTCCATGAACGAGTTGTTACAGACTTCATAGGTGCAAATATTAGCGGATGATAAGTGATTATCATATCACTCTTCAAGTTTATGGCTTCTTGCATAACATCTTCGGTTAGATCGTTCGTTAGAAGAATATGAAATACCAATTTTGGATCTGTAGGTTCAATGAGCAATCCTACATTATCCCAAGATGCTGCAAGCGATAGCTCAGCATATCCATTCAATGCATCCACAACTTGTGTCAGTGGAACACCAGCTATGCTTGGCTTTATCTCACCCATCGTATGTAGCAATTTATAATGAGAAGCTAATGTTTTGCAACTTTTGCCCAGTCCAATGAGATGCCTAAACATTTAGATACCCCTAGAAACAAATAACAGATCCAAGCATAGAATAGAATTCTAAATACTGAAGCTGAAAATAACAGGTAAAGATTTATTGTAGTTACTCTTCATCTGTTAAATACGTTTATTATTAAAATATATATTTACATTAAAAATTACGATTATGCTATTCATTATAAAACCACATTTTCACTAAGCCGTCATCGCTGGCTGATACAAGTTGTCCAGGAACTGTAGGATCCCATTGTACGCAATTCACATCCTGTGTATGAGCAGTATCCATTGTACAAACCATTGTAAAAGATGGTTGATGAGGATCGGAGTCACTATCCTCCTTGAATATTCTAATAATGTCATCACCACATGCAGTCACTAATAAACCGGTTGTTCTACACCAATCGATATCATAAATTGTTCTTGTATGATAACCAGATAATGTACACACACATTTCCAAACTGGTTCATTGCTTGTTGTAACAATTCCTGGGTCATTACCAGGTTTATATTCTTGCCATATCTTCACTGTCTGATCATCACTGCAAGTTGCTATCCTATTTCCAGTTTTATCCCATGCAAGACTCCAAACTGTCGACGTGTGAGACGACAGTGTTGCTATGCATGTCCAGTCACTATCTGCTACATCTTCTTTGAATAACTTTATTGTATTGTCATAACTAGCTGATGCAACAATTTCTTCATTAGGATGCCACCTGACCTAAGAATGAAATTTGTACGTTATAATATATTCTTTACTTGTATGTTTTTATGTTTCGTCTATGTCCCACCTATAACACCTAATATTTAGATTTTCTTTCTTAGACGAGGTATCCTATATGCTAGCAGCTGAATACGTTAAACTTAAAAAACTCATTTTTATAATGAACGGTAATAGATAACATGCACTTACCTTTTTTACATCTTGAGTATGAGCATTAATGACGGCAGCACATTCGTAATCACCATTAGTCACTTCCCATATCCAAACTGATTTATCTCTGCTACAAGTAGCCAACAGTTGTCCACTAGAAGACCAACTAACACTTTTAATTTCATTCTCGTGACCTTCTAATGTAGCATTACATTCGAATTGACCCGACTGTTTATCCCATATAGCAATAGTAGCATCAAAACTAGCAGACGCTATATAACTTCCACAGGGGGACCATGCTATTTCTCTAATAGTTCTCGTATGTCCTTCAGTGAGGATGGTTTTTATAGCCCACTTTGAATCTTGTAATCCCCAAATTATGATAGTTTTATCTTCACCGCAAGACGCAAAACATGAACCTTTTGGATGCCAACAAACATTCCACACCCTTCCTCTATGACCACTCAAAGTTTGTTTTAATTCCAATGTACCCATCTCTACCTGCAACAACACAATATATGATTCTTTAGATTTCATAAACAGAACTTATACATGTGTGGGTATTTAATATATCAAACACGAATATTACTGACATTAGAGGAAATGTTGGTGTGAAATGTTTGAGCATTACCCTCAAATAATCAAATGAGTCGTAGTATTGTCGTAGCATTAAATCTATGAATGCAAATAACGCGAAATAGTTAACCTACAAAGTAAATATTAAAACATAATTATAGCTTAGAACAAATTATCATTGAATTATTTTGAAATAAGGTTTCGGAAATCAAATCAATATTTAATTATTATTTTTTTAAAGATGTGTAACAATATATTAAACAGGCTAGATGTTCCCAAATAATCCGTATATAATATTCTATGCAACACTTACGATAATCGTTTTGGAGGCTTTTTACTTACAGGCTGTAAGAAAAAGAATTTTCTGGAAGTTGATTTGTCTGTACGTATTTTGTAACAATTAGCATACGAAATATATATGCGCACGACTGATAAGAAAATGTACTATCATGTACATGTATCAACACTATGTACCATGTCGTATACTACGTAATATCATATCGTTTACTACGTCAGTTCTGAAATATCACGTGCGCTACATACCATGAACCAAATCTGGATACAATTGAAAATAGAGAGGAAATTGTAAGGTACATATCTGCAATTAAATATATAATACAGTAATAAGTCCTATTCCTGCATATCTCCAAGCCGCAGTTTGATTCGTTAGCGAAGGGTCGACGTAGAAATTTCCTTTGCTCTGATTGGCTGACGATTCACTGCTGAGTCAAGATTCACTGCAGATTGGGGATGCTTATAAAAGCTAAGAGTACTATATTACTATATTGACATAAAGCTACTGTATGTATGTCCTCTACATCCAGTCCGTACAAATTCTTTCATTATTGAAATCAACAGATCGGTATGACAATCGTAATTCATCAAGGCAATCAAAATTATAGTCCTTGCTATCAGCCACTATCAGCGCCGAAAACCAGGGCGTGGGCGTGGATACTCTCCTGTTCACTATGTTGTTATTGGTGGTTTGTTGGCGGGAAATTACAAACTTATATCATGATATGAGTTTCTATCTTCTTATACAAAATTAGAGCAGCATGTTGTTCATAACGAGCTAAGATAGATTCCATACTACAGCTTACAATAGGTTTATTATAATATGTAAATACAAAATAAAATTACATTTTATTTATATCTATCTATTAATATAGTAGTTATTAGTCTGACGTAGCATTATATTGTGTAGACACGGATAATGCGTCTGTATCAGTTAAAGGTAACATTCTGGTACAAGAATCAGGTGTACTAGAATGACAATAATAATAATATTAATGTCACACATACAATTTAATAAAGAAAGTAATACTTACACATCTTTTAAAAGGTGTAGTACATGCTTGTGTTCAATTCCCTCCAACCACAAATTTAATAACTCTTCTCGTTTACACCTCAACAATTGTTTACAGGCGTTCAAGTTTTCTTTAACTGCGTGAATTTTTTCTCTCGAAGCTGTTACTTTTTCTGACAAGGCACTAAATATCTACAATGAAAAATATTATACACATCGTTATAACAATGCACAAAAGTTCACTAAATTACATTGTTTAGTAAGCGAACCTACTTGCATAACTTGTGCCAGATCTTGATCGTGTAATGAGACCAACTCATCAAGTCGTTGATCACTTTTCTTATACTCTTTCTCAAGTTTAGCTTTCTCTATTTCTCGCTGCTCATTAGTTTCACTTGCTGATAAAGCACGAATTACAGAAATCAATAAACCACTCTAAAACAATTTCAGATAAAAGTACAAAAATGTAATAGTCAAATTAATTGACATAAAAGATGACGTTAAGTCTTACCGTTTCCTTTGTTGGTTTGATACCTCTTGGAGGTTTGGTAGGAGGTACTGAATTCATTTTTTGTATTATATAAACAAGAAAGAACAAGAACAATAACTTATAATTTAATTTAAATCGCTTATATATTATACAACGAAAAAAACATTTCGAACTCTGTTGTCAAACGTTTAT